GCAACGAGAAATTCCCTATCCCTTTCGCACCCCCCTTGCGGCACCGACCAATCTATTTTTGGCATGTTAAAGTCTCCGAAGAGCAATACCTGCTTCGAGATCTCGCCGATCCTACGCATGAGTGCAAAATATGCTGCTTCATCCTCGAGAGAAGAGATCCTACCCACACAACTCAGGTATATCCCAGAGATATCCCCTTGGGACAAGTGAGAAGTCCCAGGTAGTACTTGCGGGTGCCTTCCTTTCTGCTATGGACTCATTTCCCACCACCATGGACAACCCATTACTTTCACAGATGTCTCTCCTCGTATTTGTTCTTCTTGGAATACCTAATCTTAAGCTCTTGACCAGTTGGAGAGTGACGATTAAGGTGGAAGAATATTCTGTTCCTGAAGGATTCCAAAATAGGAAACTTCCCAGCAAACAATTTGAAACACTTAATGTTGAATCAGCGTTGAATCAACATTGAATGAACGTTCGGAACGTTGATATAACGTTGATCCAACGTTACCTTGTTTGCTGGGTTATCTCATAGGTAAACAATTTTGCATTTTCCCACGAGAAGTCACGGTCGAGGACCTTAGGCCTTAGACAAGATAGTTGTATCCAAACATGCCGATCAGACATCATTAATTAGAATAATGGAATAAATTGAGATTCGTACCGTAATTTTTTCACTTTCCCTAGTGGCAGTTTTCTTGATGTACGGTACGAAAATCCTCACTTATCCTCAGGAAAAATCGAGTAGATAAATTTGACAGAAAAGATCTGAGGTTGGAGATCAGGGCCAATGGGAGACATCTACCATCGAAGGTATGCACTGAATGAAGGCGACAAAGAACACTGAAGATGCCTAACGACATCCCTAAGATGTCCCAAAGACATTCGCCTCAAAATATTGACAAGCGTTCGACTGAACATGTCTTAAAGACATCCCTTACGGGATATCCAGAAGCACTCGACGAAGGATGTCTTAAAGATATCCCGTAAGGGATATCTCTAAGATATCGATTAAAGATGTCTAAAAGACGTCTCTTTATAATGTCTGGAAGGCATCCCTTACGGGATGTCCGAAACCGTCCGAAAGATGTCTTCAGGATATCATATAAAGACCATGGGGCAAGTCGTCCAGTTGGGGACATCCCTGGGATATCACCGTGCTGTGTGGGGACGGACCAGCGACGAAAACGACTGTCTGGGGGCGACTGCCATGGCCAGGTTAGCATTGGATATATATTTTCTTTTTTATAGCTTTTACATTAATTTTTTTAAATATTGGGTGTCAGTGAAATAGATATTCAAGTTTTTACTCCAGACGAGAAATGAAAAAGGCGATAGGGCAGGGAATGGTGGAAGGCGGGCGGGGGGGGGGGGGGGGGGGGGGGGAGGGGGGNCAAACCGAGGAAGGTTTCGTACAACTATAAGAAGGCGGGCGGGGGGGGGGGGGGGTTGCTAAGGTAGGAACTAGGGAACCGTCCCTCCCACGAAAAATTCCTGTATCGGCCACTGGCTGAACAGGAGACTAGAAGCTTCGGCTGCAGCTCTACCTTAGGTCAATAATGAAGTTCAGCGAGTTGAGCATTAGGCGAGTTTTACGTTCGAGTTGAACGATCAGTGATTTCTAAATCGATAAATCGTCAAACAGCGAATTGGAAAATCGTTGAGTTGAATTTGACAAGTCGTCACTCCACAAGGTGATTAGGGAGTTGGAGTATTTTTTGCTTTGAGGGCTACTTCGGATGTTCTCTCTTTTCTTTTTCTTTTAGCGGCAGTTAGGCGAAGCTCAGTGAAGTTATGCAATAAATTAAATTTCCAATTTCGGATAAACCCATTATTTTGGCTTGATTCCAGATATTGTATGTTAAATATTAATGTAACAGCAGTCAGCGTATGTCCCAATCTACCTCTTAACCAACTGTCCAACTGTACCCCAATGCATCAATTTGGAACATGTTTTTTCTTGGTTGAGAATCACAAGAGCAATCTGACAAAAAAACGAATGAATAACCAAATCCAGCACTTGTCAATGAAATTAACCTATTCATATTTGTTCTAGATCAATTATCTCATCATGCAAAGTATTCAGAATATTTGAATATCACTGACTATTTCACCTGAGCTGCATGATCGTGGCCAAATCTTGTACAGAAATTTAAGGGCGATATGATGGTTCTGCCAATAGATGTACGAGGGCCACTCAATAAGTTATCTACCTGAATAGGAAAGGGATGAGCAACAGGCCTGTGCCTGCTGTGACTTGTCTCGACAGGTCTCGTGAGTGCCCCACCACTATACCAGCTCAGTGAATATACGAAAAAACGCCCACTGAAGAAATGCCCACGGAAATAATGCCCACAGAAAAAACGCCCACAAGAAAAAATGCCCACTTTATTTTTTTCTGGTTTTTATTATTTTTATTTTGCAAAAAAGCTTCTCATTTATGGCATTGCGAAATAGAACTAATTAAAATATACAGGAAAT